GTGAGGGCAGCCCTGAAAGACAGCGTAACTAGAAAATTATCCTCGACCATCCATCTCGTTTTTTAGGGACTTGTGGTCGGATGACCCACAGCGGGTGACTGATTCTCAGTCTGGTTAGGTCGGATTTGATGATAGAAATGGCAGTGCTCAGCCTTCCTCATGGATAGACGGGTGAATATTCTACGCGTCTACTCCAAAATTCATTATCCCTTGATTTGATGGTGAAGGCAGTTTTTCTGCTCTTGTTTGGCCCAGTCTACTTGCTGCCAAAGAGGAAGTGGGCTTCTGCAAGCTATAATAGGACTTTGACTGTGAAATACTGAAACGTTTGAGCTGGCTTCCCAGTTACAATATTTTAACCACTACGGCGATGTTCTCTAGTATAAGTGACGATCCATCTTTATCGGAGTTGGAAACGTTTATTTAGTTTTCTATCTGACGCGTATGTACAACTAGATAGAGGGCGTAGGAGCCAGTGGAAAGGCTAGGATGTGATGGCAAAGAATGTAGCCATGAATGTATCATTCATACTTTGTCTGAGAGTCGATAGAGAAATGACCCAGCTTTAAGTTGCGCACAATTGAATTCAGGGGACGATAATTTAGATGAGCTTGCATCAAGAAAATAATTGATCGAGTAGATCTTACATGAAGATTTTTGCTGAAATGATGCAGAGCCGCTATGACACAAGAAAGAATAGGGACCCATTCGCACAGCTAGTCCTTGCCCTGATTAGGGGTCTAAAATGAAGCTATGCCGGTTTTCGTGACTTCGTGGGCAGCAGTTTGGGGGTTTTTAATTTTATAGTAAGAGTCCTAACGCTCTATGTGTTAGAATTTTGGCCTTTTATTCGGGCTGCGTTGCGTACGAAGTCCTCATCTGTAATGCACTAAAATGATTACTTGTGATAGTCATTCAGCCACCGACTTTGTGGCATAGAATGGTTGATAAATTCACAGCTACACTCTCTAATACCACACGCTCCGAGCATCATCTGCATAAGGGATCGTCTCGGATGACCTGTGGCCCTGATGGAGACTTGGGAAGATAAGAATGTAGACGTCAGAAGGCCAAATATGAATTGGACTCAAACGGCAAAGACAGGCTGCACACGATGGGGCAGGGCTGAGGGACGGAAGACGAAGCTCGCTTCGACCGGCCGTTTGATCTTAGCACTGTCTAGAAATGTCAACTGCAGGTCCGTAGACGAGACGGTGCACTGGTGTCCGCCCACTGTCGTCATGTATTCCTTGACTCTAGACTCTTGGGCCACATTTCACCAGATGACTGGTTTACCAAGTGTCCAAGCGCTCGATTTTCTCGAGACTCATCGTCTGTCTACACCTCAGCCTGTGCACGACCAAGTGTTCAAGTTTCGGATAATCCGGAAGGAAAAAAACGCAAGGCTCTCGTGGAAAAAGTTCGCTGTGGAGATTCAATGTTTACATGCTTGGGCAGCTGGATGTCGTAATGAATCGATCCCACGGTCTTGAACAAGTAAGTTCGAGAATGAAATGGTCACTAAGCCTCACACAGCTTAGTGACCCCAAATACATGGAACCCAAAGAGTAGGCTGGGACTCACACCAATGTGCTTGTAGTCACTGACTTCAGCAGCTCGATAAAAAGCCAATCCACAAAGAACCATGACGCCGGCTGCTAATCTTCCAATGCGCCACTGACCTTTTCAGCTGTTTCCCGAGAAGGCAAGTCGGCCCTTGTCACATCCTTTTGCCGACTATTTCTCCCCAACTCTAGTGTCCGCACGCTCGCTTGCCCGCCCAAATTTTCTATCATTAATCTTTCGAACAGTTGGACAGATCCTTCGTTCAAATGTGAAATTTCCAATGCTTTCTGGTGGTGGTGGTGGAAGTGGATTCTAAATCAAGTTGGCATTGGGGAGGAGAATCACTCGGGACCGGACCCGGATTTGAATCTGTGTTTTTGTCATCGAAACTAAAATAGTTTACAAGCCTTTTAATTTAACGCATTACTCGAATGTAGATGAATCTTATTAGAACGTCTCCATTTTAGAAGCATCACAGCGTTGTGTTTCAAGTCGAATGCTAACTCAGCCGCCACAAGTCTGGATTATAATCCTCCAATATGCAATCCGTCCTTGTCCTGACCCGTTAATGAGACGCTTGCCCTTCGGCCTCTGGAGCTTAACAGAACTCTAATCATGGTGAATATGTAGGAATCCATCGTCCCCACTTCAGCAACATCCACTGTAGTGCCTTGATTAATTTTTCGCCTTTGTATGGGACCGGTCACAAACGATACGTCTCAAACTATCGAGCGCCAATCTTTGCGAGGGCCCATACCTCGTGATTCTCATTGTCTCGGCGCATAGTGAAATACCCGAAAGCCTTTGAGACGGCCCAGCTGTTAGATGGTGGATCAGCTTCGGATGACGCTTGGCCTTCATCGCTTTGGCTCAAGACCCGGGTGCTGTTCTACAGACGGCCTGCAGAAGGATATTGCTAGGCTTATTCACACAGCCCAGGAAGTTTGGAACGGGCATATTTGGGCGGTATTGGTAGGACCTTACACCTACCAAATGTCTCATTTTACGAAACAAGATACATCTGGCCCCCGTGAGGTGTTCGGCGCCCGCCTTCGACAATGCCACAGGCAAATAAGCTATCGGGGTATTCTGGTTGAGGCCGGCCCTGTCCTTCGGCGCTCATTATTTCCGACGTCAAGCTAATGGCGGCAACCAGATCTAGAGTTACTGGGCACTTTCGACGTTGCCCTAGCCACTTGATTGTCAGCTGTCATTCACACCACCTAATATGACGTAGCCAAGCATAAGCATGGTAGGGGTGTGTTTGGGAAAAAGAGAACAAACCTCACGCACCAGAGCACTCGACACCAACGGCGAGCGCCAACCTCACATATCGCGGCTTCACTGCCTTGAGACTCACTACCTGGCTACTGCATTTGCAGCTTGCTCATCCCATCTAGATCGCAAACACAACCGAACACTAAATGTCTATCTGCCCGAACTGCTCGGTCTGTCGGGGAGAATCAGGCTGTAACCAGCATTATTTAACTGAAATTTGCAAATTTCATGCAGTAAGCGGTCCAATGCCCTTATTTCCATACGCTGCCAAAGACCTGTAGATTGCCAGCTTCCACAACCTTTGCTCATGCGCGAACAGTAGGGGGGGTAATTCCCTGCTTCGGCTACGCAAAGCTTCCGGGCTATCTCGCCTTCGCCGATTCATTGAAAGACGGATCTAAACGCTCCCAGCATTGGGTACTTCTGTATGCTTCTCCCTACACACGAACTCCTCCTTTGCAACGGGCCTCAATTCATGGGCGGGAGATTCCTTCGCATCAGAGCTTCTATTGAATCCATCTGCGTAAAACCAATCTCAGCAAACGGTGATATTAGCTACCTTGGCAACGCCTGATACCTCTTTTCCAGCATTTCGTGCGGCCTAATTGAAGACGACAAGAATAGCAGTCGTCGACGGAGATCAGGGGATGAATCCTAGCAGCAGCAGACGCACGAGTCTAATTTCGCACGAGAAGCTAGTGGGACCGAACGATACACGTCCTCAGTCATTGGCGCTAGTAGCCCAAGTTGTCTCGACTAGCACGGCCAGGATTGAGATGCTCATTCTAATCTTCTTTAACTATGAGATCCATGAACTAACAGAACTCAAAATTAAGCGGTCCTAGCTTGTGCACAAGACACGCCCGTCCAGGGTCCCGTTCTTGCCGAATACTGCGTCAATTTCAAGACTTCAATATCAAGGCCTGAAATAAGGTAGCCTACAACCGTAGCACAAAGTCGCAATCGTGACATGGTCGCATTGACAACCACGCATAGTGGTGAGTAGTATGAGGTAAGAATTTGTAGACGTGCAATTTCACTAACGATACAGCTCTGCACCTTAGTAAGTGGACTAAGAAGATATAGCTTGATCGTCTGCGAGAGCTTATCGAAGCCAGAAGAGGACTTAGAGCATACGTGGGATGTTAATAGTAGATCAGGCAGCGCCATACTTTGATATCTATTCCTGCAATTTTCACTAAACTAGTCATTACCCGACCGAATCCAAGGTTCGCGCCCAAATTTCCCGCCAGAAACGAAAACTTGAGTTTCGGTGTCAGTGTGAGGTGTAATCTAATTTGGCCGAAGTATGTGGGGCAATGGGAGCTTGACTGAATTGGAAATTGTATCTTAAGATACCAGTGAGGGTGTAAGATGCTCGGCATGCGCTGCTTCACAAGGCTCTAAAATTTTCATCTCCTACGGCACTCCAAGTGAGCCAGTTTAAGCAAACTATCGGGGGAACTCCTCAGCGGTCACGATAAGGTAGGATCCAAGCCCTCGTCTGCTCATATCCCATGGATGAGCATAGTTCCAATGGCTCGAGTCTCTGAGAGAATCGCGGTGGACACGGCGCTCCGACGCACAGGGCAGTCAAAATACATTTGATATACATACCATCTCACATCCTTCAACTCCGCTCCCCCTCGAGCGGTCCAGGAGCAGGGGCGTAATTTGACCAGGATGGGTGTGGGTTACTTGTGTCCAGAGCTCCAACCATCACGCTACCTGTTACCCATCTAAACCTGCCGAGTCTCAAAACACTACCCAATTCTGAGTAGTGTTTCGTGATGATTCGTTATTGTTTCTGCACCACCATATCATTAATACTAGACTTCTTCCTTGTTTTCTTGCGCGCTAATTCTTTCACTCAGCTTCCCCATATAACACTAATCGACTAATATCAGCTCATTTGATCTTCTTGTTGCTTAATACATGTTAGCACTAGGCTACCACCCCTACTTCCTGAGCGCCATCAAGCTATCATAGCTTTGAACCTATTGATATTATCTTGCTCAACCAACTCTTTCACTTGCCTACTTCAACTTAGGCCTCCCAAGGTTAAAGACTACTAGAGTGAAGGCGAGGCAAGAAATTACTCCAGGAATCTTCAAAGAAAAATTGCTTAAGTCTAACTGACAGTAGTCGCTTCGGAGATGGCCCAAAATAGGCCCATGAGCATTTTGCCTACAATAAAATGCTCCAACTGTTCAGTAGACATTCAAATATCCAAGTTGGGAGATCATGTGTGCAATGACTCTGGTCAACGTGAGCCCTCTGATCCTCTTGAATGAATACTCAAATATTAACAATTAAACTCGACAGTAACTCCTGCTGAGTCCCCAACAGAGTACACCAAGATTTTAGATGTGCGAAATGAAAGCAATCCCCCTCTGCCTAAGCCCGGAACTCTACTACCGCGAGTTGATACCAACATTGCGAGTAAGTTAATTTATCCAAAGAACTTTAGCTGTTGTTAATTTTTAAGATCGTCTCTACCTCCAACTTGGTCCCTATACTCCGACCAGTGCTTCGCCGTTATCAGGAAGTCCAGAGCGACTGCCACATGCTAAACCTGTAAGGAGTGCTACTATGCCTCTCGTTAGAGCGCCACCATCTCCAGAACCCCTATCGTCCAACCTCGATTGCGCATTTCCGCCATTTCCGCCCACAAAATTAACAGCATCTAAGCCGATGTTAAGGAGCAAAAGTGAAGAAAAGAGAAATATAGACACGACCCCAATGCTTGCACCCCTAAGTCCTAGAGGTATAAATTCCGGTGGCTTTATGCAGAGGGCAAATAGCATTGTACCTGGACCTTTTGATGTGAATGGAGGTCGCGTACCGCAAAGTCCAGAAAAATCACATCAGCGAACTGGAACTGAAAGCAGTATAAAAGTTATCTCGGATCCGGGAAAACTAGATTCTGGCAATGAGCAATTAAGTGCTAAGAGCAACATGCACACAAGGAATTACTCTATCAGCTCGCTGAAATCAAAATCCAGCTACACCGCATACCCAAAACCTCCTCGAAGGAATGGATACGAAGGATTCGGACCTCCAAAATCTGACGATGAATCATTTCAGAAACCGGCACGCTTAGAGACTAGGTCCCAAACCTTGGCATCCAAAAATGAGAAAGTGTCAAGTACATCGTCTGATAAGGGGTTGAAAATGAAACATAATGAGAGAAAATCATCATCAAATTCTTCCTCTAACCCTATATCGCCTAGGAAAATTAGCACATCGCGCGGAGAAAAAAGTAGGAGTAGTCAGAAGGGAGATATTGCATCTCGAGATACGGCGCCCAGGTACCCAGGACTCGAACCTCTCTCGGGCCGAAGCCAAGGCTCTATTGGATCACAATCTACTCGAGGGAGCAGCTTCTCGGGTTTGGAAAGTAGCAACAATGATTATTTAATATCGCCCTCATCGCTCTCAACCGTCAGCTCAACTGAAACATATGATGTAAAACTACCAACTCGAACTTCATCAAAATCAATTTCAAGCTCACTAGAGAAAGGTTTTGAGGAATTTAGCTTTAATCCAAAGACAGTCACTTCAAAGGCACCCGCAAGAGCTCGTCGAAAACCCTCTAATACAAATTCGATTGACCTTTTACTAGCAGACTTGCAATCATCTATGAGCGAGCCCTATCCTGCAGACTTACCCGTACCACTACAAACAGACGCTATAAAATCACCATCTTCACCTCGTCGATTGAAACCCCAAACTACACGGCCTCCACTTCCTCGTCAAAGTACAGCGCCACTATTTTCCCCTCGCATCTCATCCGGGAATCCAGAACCGCTCCCTACAAACGGGTCGAGCTCCCGTCCTTCGACTCGTGATGGCTCACACTCTAAGGCTACCAACCGTGGTAAGGTTTCGAAAGGAAAATGTAAGGGCTGCAGCAAAGAAATCTATGGTAAATCAATCTCATCGGCCGATGGCCGATTAACTGGTCGATACCACAAGCAATGTTTTGTCTGTATGACATGTCAAGAACCTTTTAAGACATCTACATTTTATGTCCTTGCCGATGCTCCGTATTGTGAGAGACACTATCACGAGCTCAACGGGAGTATCTGTGGAAGTTGTGACCAAAGTATAGAAGGGGAGTATCTTGAGACGGAACGCAAGCAAAAACATCATCCAGGCTGTCTTAGATGTGAAGATTGCGATTGTAATCTAAGATATGACTATTTCGAAATGAATGACCATGTCTATTGTGAGCGCCATGCCATCCGTCGGGCGCGACAAAAACAAATTCTGGCCGTGGGAATGGCAGATAACGATGACATGGAACGCCGCACAACAACACTAATGACAATGTGATAGTGCATCATTTCACCCCATATTAAGCAAATGTATCTTATTACGTTTAAATTTTATGGTACTGAGACACGGCCACCAAGGCACAAAATAAAACTTTTGCAATAGCCTCGGATACACCTTTATTGACCTACTATTCGTTCTAATAACATGCGAAAATAAGTGTATTGAGTACCGAAATAACAGCTTTATCCATAAGATTTTCCGAATCCCGAAAATAATTGTATATTAATCTAAAGCAGCTTGCAGAAATTAGCAAAAAGCCATAATGACTAGGAATATGGGTGCCAAGTACCATGGCTGCAGTAACATTCTAGGGAACTATTTAAATATTGTGCAGGTCATAATATGTACTGCCGGAAGGAGTTTTTGGGGTAATAAATCTTAGCGAAGGAAATTTGATCAAAGAATGTATGAGTGTTGATATAGTATATGTAGAATAGATATAATGAGGAACTGTGATTTAACGTTAAGTTGCAAGATCCAAGGGCTACGCCCATGAAGTGTAACTTTAAGTATAGCAACGAACTTGAATCAGACGGGAACAAGACGTTGTCTTGTGATACTATCCAGCCAGGTCAGATTTCAATTACCTCGTGTTTTCATACATAGCAATGCTCTCAAGCCAATAATCTACGTGAGCTTTGGGGACAGGAAACATATTTTAGAGTTCGGGTGCTATCACGAGGGTGGGTATGGTTTTAGAATGGTAAGGATAAGTCAGCGGAGATTAGAGTGTCACGGAGAGCAGTGAATACGATTATTACGACACAAAATTTCTAATTTGACTAAGCAGAGGTACTGGATGTGCAGGCTACACCGGCGGATCTATCGGTCCAAGCATTTCGAGTAATGAGGGCAGATTGCGGGCCTTCGGCATTAGGCTGAGGCGTTTGGGGAGGGTAGCTGGGTGGCGAGGTGGGCGAGATGGGCGACGAGATGGGCGCGCAAGAAAGGCGAGAGGCCGAGAATACCCTGGGGCGTGACGAGGCGGTAAGTCCCGCTAGGCTGGTAGCGGCCGCCGTCGACGAAGTGGCCCTGTCCATCGACTTCAAGGCTGCCGAAGATATCCTCGGGCCACGCGATGCGTCGGCCGTCGTCGGGCGCCGCACGCTCATCGCTTATATGGACCCAGCCACCGCGCGCTGGTTGCCTGGCCGCGCCGCCGCGTCGCCCGACCATGCCAGCACTGCGCTGAGCAAAGGCTGCCGCTTGAGCCACAAGCGCAGGATCCAGGGCTGCCTTGGCCGCAAGCACGTCGTTCAGAATGGCCAGGAAGCGTGGATTCTCGTTGAACGATGCGGGAGTGGGCGGTATTGCAGTGGTGTGACCAATACTTAAACTTAGCGCTGGCGGGTCGGTTGCGAGCAATGAGAGGACATGGCTGTTTTTGGTTGCCGATGGAAAAACATACTAAAAAGCGTTACCTGGAGCTAATTTCTCATCAGCCTTTTGAACTCACAATGTGAGGGTTATTAACCAGCGTCGAGACATGACGGCGTATGAAACCGATGAATGGGGTTCCAAGGAATGAAGGTCGCAGCCTTGAATGCAAAATCATTTTGGCGTAATGAAAGTTATTTTGTATGGGGTTCTATGACGCTTGTTGTTGATAGAGTTTTCTTGAGTGAATGGGTCCACTTCTGCAATCGCAGCAACAGCACTAAAATTCGCGCCAAATCGAAGCGAAACCTCGGATAAGAACGTCGCGCTACTAATCTTAAAATTTGGACTGACAGTTTTGTCACTGTTAAGTTATCTAGAATATATGTAGCTTCTATTGGCTCGCAGCACTATGTGCATAGCTGGGCAGATATAATACACGGTATCTCCATGTACTTAGGAGTAAATCATCGCTTCCAAAAAACCCGCTTACTCCAGTAAAGAGTAGTACCCCGGCTCTGTGCCTTGTCATATTCTCTTTGGTCTTAATCTACTTAAAATAAATCCCTATTTGTCGAGCCCACCAAAAATCTGGCATTTGTTAGTTTTGTAGATACACCATGAATTTTTTTACTAGGATTTTATGAGTGACATACTGTCTCTACCATTATACCTGTTATTTGGTACGGGTCGGCATTTGATGCTGGCCTTCGGTCCTCGAAGTACCCAAAACCTTTTTGGCTGACCTCTCTGGGAATACGAATAGAGGTGCCACGGTTTGCAACACCGTAAGTGAATGAATCAATATTGCCAGTCTCATGTCGTCCAGTTAAACGCATGGTATTATCCTCTCCGTATACAGCAATATGCTCCTTGTGCCTAGCTTCAAGTTTCTTCATGGCAGCCTCTATAGCTTTCATACCACCAGGTTTGCGCATCTCTTCCGATGAGAAGTTGCTGTGAAGGCCGGCTCCGTTCCAGTCACCTGGGATAGGCTTTGGATGAAATGAAATTTTGGCACCAAATTCTTCTGCAATACGATGAAGTAGGAATCGAGCCAGCCAAAGTTGATCACCCACTACCTGTGTATCAACAACCAGACCTTGGTATCTAATGGGTTGTGTACTCACACTCAATTCCTTCACAGGGACCAACCTGGAACTCCCATTGCGCGGGCATAACTTCAGCGTTAGTTCCCGAGATTTTCACACCAGCGAATAGACAGGCTTTGTAATGGGCTTCGACGATATCTCGGCAATACACCTTTCCAGATCCAACTCCGCAATAGTATGGGCCCTGGGGACCAGGGAAGCCACCGGCGGGCCATCCATAAGGCCTGTCGTGCATATCTAGTAGTGTGTATTCCTGTTCTAATCCAAACCAGGGTTTTTGTGCTTTATGCGCTTCCATGAGTTTGGCGGCTTCATGACGATGGTTATATTTGTTTGGAGTTCCATCGGGGTCCCAGCATTCAGTGATAACTAAGATGTTTGGTGCACCGCGAAATGGATCTGGGAAAACAGCAACAGGCCGAAGATAGACATCAGAGTTATCACCGGGAGCCTGACCTGTAGAGCTACCGTCAAAGTTCCATTCGGGAAGGTCATCTACTGTAAACTCTCCACTTGGTGGTATGCTAGTAAGGGTCTAGTGAAAAGGTTAAATTCGGCATGAGATGAGGTAAGAAATAGCCACCTTTGACTTTGAACGGACACCGCCAACAGCGTCAATCCATATATACCTTTAGGCATCCGTCAGACTCTCTAAGCGAGCAAACTTTGGAGAGGGCTGGGGGAGCTTACTCAGCCATTGCGCTTCCCTTCTGGTCCAGGCCCATGTATTTGAGCAACTAAGCACGGTTAGAAGAGTTGTAGCGCCAAGACCCGAGCTTCCTTACATTGGTAGTGTAAGAGACATTGGTAGTAGCTGCAGCCATGATGCAACAGCGTTGGTGGTATTTTGAGGCTTGGGTTGAGGGGCTGTAGAGAGAGAGGTAAATGATATTTCACTTTATTGTATGTCCAAAAATCAGGATAAGCGATAGATCTTTATGAGACTCTGGCACTCACCATCGCCACATGAGGGGAAATTGTTCGTTTAATAGAACAGCACCTTGTGACCCGCTTAAATTAGGGCAGCGACTAGCAGAATGTGGCAGAGCCAAGGGGCTTGGCAGCAGCAACATCAGGCAGTAAAGGTCTCACTCATGGAAAAACCTGCACCCTTCATTCATCCACTTTCGTATTTGGCATCAATATTAATTGTCACTGTAGATTCTGTCAATACTAATTCGGTACAAACTTTCTACCATTACAGACCAAGGAAAACTATCCCCTTTCACAAGTTGAAGAGGAACGTAGCGGAAACCATCTCCCCTCTATGAACAGGCCTGCCATGCTCTAAATTTAGCTGGTGCAGCAGCCTCAGCTTTACTACTAGCTATTATGTTCTGGGTCACGACAGGCAGCAGTCGATCCCCTCTTAGCAGGGCATATCACCTTCAAACCTTGTCGGTCGACAAAGCACGATCCCAGAAACACTGGCTGGATTTCTCACTGGGTCAAGTAAGACGTTCTGGCTTTCTGTTAGGAGTTAAAGATGCTCTGGAAGGGGCTGTCCTTCAATTAACCTTCCGAGTGGAGTCTCATCACTAGCCCCCCACCAAGACTCTTGCATCAAATCGACGCAGCATTCATGGGCTTCGCAATATTTTAACCACCACTAGGATCATAGTCCGAGGAAAAAATTACGGACAGTGTAGGTACTCTTGTCCATTCAGGTGAAGATGAACGGGGCTTGACAAAATCGTCGACGGTTTTTGGAGTAGTGCAATTGAAAGAAGAAACAATAGTGCAGTAGAGCCGAACCAAATTACATGGATCATTAAGACGGCTTGCAAACCTGTCATGTCACGATTGGAACGGCCAATGTTCGATACAGGAAACACTATGTTGTAAGCTCTGGAACGGCGCTTGAAAACGTAATAGACACTGAGATGTGAGGTAGAACTGTCAGCTGTGGGGTCAAGTTTATTTTAAAAAAAACTTTATGAGAGTGTCAATATCTTTCTCAGCACTAGCCTTCGGGAAACCTAGCAAATCCTGCCCGTATTAAACAGCTCACTAACATTGGCCTTCCTTGACAATTTCATAGAATCCCGCCGATGTCAATTAAAAATAATGGAGAAAACCACCAAAATTTTTGACTGATTGGAAGAACAAAAACCTCAGTTTCCACGTTACCAATTAGTCTTTGGGCCAAGTCGAAGTTGTCATTGGTTTTATCATATTTCGAGACAAGGCTTTGCTTGCACGTGAGCTCAAGATGGGGTTAAGCTGGTCGAAATTCTTGAACTATTGATCCTTAACGAACCTATACGTAAGGACTGGAGTGGGCAAGTGGAGGAAGAATGAGCCACGTCGTGCTCTCAATATATATTTATAGGTATATCAAAAGTAATTGCTGACTAAGCAAAGCTTGAAATAGAAGGCTGAGAGCGTGTTTAGTCGTTGCAATGGTAATAGTCACACATGTATACACTTTGAAATTATTTCAGCTCGTGTTGTTGGTACTCAGTAACGCATCGTCTATGGCAGTCAGCTAAAGAAGTTTGGAGTAAATCATATTGTAGGCGAGAGGATCATTGATGAGGACTTTTGTGGAACTCTGTTGGAAAGGGTTGGGTGAAGGCGAGCCAGAATAAGGGTTATCGGGTCGAGAAGAGCGTGTCATTTGCTTCCAGCAGGATTTCCATTGAACCAGGAAGCCCCTGTAGACTGGGACTGGTGTGAGTACCTGGTATATCAGCTTCATCTGCATCCGGACTATGAGACTCAGAGGAGCACGCATTAAAGACCACGCTTAGGGTGAGACGCACAGAAACTACAATGATAGGAACTGTAACATCTGTAGGAGGAAAGATCCAAATTCTGACAGTTGCAAATAGAATAGTACCGAATCGTGTGCGCCGGTCAGAGTTGATGCGGGGTGATGAGGGGATATGATGTGCGGCGAGGACCTAGTGGGAAAGTGATGTGCTCGCCGCTACTGCCGACACCGGATATGGCCGAGAAGAAATATCTCAGGCTGGCATTGACAGGCGATCTACACTATCGCGTGTGGCGCCTAGTGCGATGAGAAATTCGCTCCCGAAAAGAAGCCGCTGCGTCTTGTATGCCGCGTTGTCACCTTAGGACCAGGGCCTCAATAGTTAAGTCATGTGACCCACGGCGATTGATTTGCTCGTTCTGGCGGGGAAGGATGGACCGGGTCAATGAGAGTCATGTGCAACGTCGACTGCGTGTCTCCTACACCCGCACTTGCGCAGCCTGGGACTGCGGAGGGGCATCCGACTATCTGCACATGGGTAGAACAAGCAACTTCAACAAACCTAGCTGCAGGCAGTGCAAAATCGACAGCAACAGATTCAGAGGTTAATAGGCCATATCTTGGTGGGAATTGCGTAGTACGAAACAGTACGCGTGCATGTGTTAACACGGGCACAGGTCTATTCAGGCCAGATTTAGCTAGCGAGGGCAGATTCGGGAGGTCATCATCTGCCACCGCCCGAATGCCAATCATTGCCCGCTTCGCTCTCCGGCCCTCGTTGTCACGGGATGAGATTAGCCTGTGGCAAGTCATCTGATCAACAGGACTGTGGCCTATATAGTATCCCTAGCAACAAGCCTGCCTATGTCGGCTATTACGCACTTTCGTTGGTTTAGGTAAGTTGAGTGCCTCAAGCTCTCAGAGCAGTAAGCTTTTGCGTCCTTTCCCCAATTAGGAACTAGTGTATGTAATCATTAGTTAGACGCAAAATGGAAAACAAATAAACATCCACACCCTTCAAAGACCCGACGATTGTTGTCATATGTTGCTCTAGCAGGCGGGTTCTTATGTTACCGTCCGGAAATCCCTATCAGGTAAAAGCGTGACTCAGAAGAGAGCTTAAGTAGCCGAGCGTCAACATCACCAGACCCAGCGGATCATTTGACTAGAATTGCAGATTATGTCGAGAGCTTATCATCAGAAAGAATCGTTGCGTGTCTTCGATCGACCTATGGGTTATTGAATGTGATTTTTGAAGTCTGGGAGTCGACGTTACAGCTGACATTTTCTTTTTATACCCTCGATCTGCAAGCTGGGACAGGGCTGCGGTGTTTTTACGACTGTGAGCACTCTGTCAGCCGTCTTGCCATGACTGATTGACTGGACACTTATCTTGTGTGTGAGTTTATTGTGCTACTTGAGTCTTAGAACATCTAACACGTTGGGCTCCTATCTGACTAAGGTCACACCTTGTACAGTGCCCCTTGCCTCTTTTGTTACTTCAAAGATCATTGATATATTGCCCCTGATGAATAGACATTCGGCCACCTTTCCCACAGAACCTTCAACCCAAGAGAATACAAACGGTAGCAATGGAAACTGCGTGCGCGGGAACAAGTCTCAAAAAACCTGCTGCCCTAGCCAGGCGAGGCCTAGACATCGGGACCACACGAGGTGCGCATATTCATCTACATCTCCCTTCTTTGTAACATTCGAGGCCGACTTGATCCAATCCGCCATCTCCGTATCGGGTGCTGGGTACGCTCCGGAAACTCATTGGATGGCTTTTCCTCCATGATCAAGGGTTGGTGATAAGTAGGGCTCCGACCCTACCATCTGATCTGATTGTGGTTAGTTTGTGGCAATGGTGATAGGGGGATGTGTTGAGAGATGAAGACGATACAGACTGCGAAAACGACTGGTGATCCTCATCGAAGTGAGGACTTTGTTACTCAATCTCGGCTCTGCAGGCTCTACAGTGAAAGATGGAGGTTCGTAGGGGACACCACTGACAGGTGTTGAGAACAGTCCCCCTCTTTAGTCCAAAGACATGTGAGGCATCTAGGCTTTCCCTTCCACAGCCCATGAATACCTACGTCACGGGATGTATATCCCTTAGTCTATCTGCCCTCCAGCCCCTTGATGACGGTTAAACCCCTTCCGAAAACTTGTTTGTTCCGAAACTTGGGGGGATCTTGACATAGAATGATGCTGTAAAGTAGCCAAGCCGAAAATATTGGTGTCATTCTGAGCGGTGGAGAATACCATAAACTCGTAAGTAAAGGCACATCTTGCCTCTGAGTAGTGTAGCTAAAAGCTAGAGATTTGAAGTAGGCAACGACCGCAGAAGTCAAAATTTTTGTCCCCGAACTAACAGAAGATATATTATCACAAGGCTTTTACTGTGTGGTTCTTCAATGTTTTGCGTAAAAATTATATTAAATCTTTTGGAAAGTAATTGTACTTGGTGTGCAATAAGTTCTTTGCACCTCTCGGTTGCTGAGTCATTAAGACAATGACTCAGCTAATACAATGAGCCCTAGGCTAATACTGTTTTTAGATAGAGACAGAAGACATAATACATGCCTCACTTTTGCACCTTTCGTTTTGCATTGAACTAACCTAACGTATACGTAAATTAAGGCCAACCGACACCTTTCTAAATCCAGAATCATAGATGAACTAATTTTTTTCGTCCTATTTCCTTGAAGATATCTCCTATTTCAAATACCAAGCCATAAAAGTATTCGCTGCTATAATTAAAAGTGTCGTCAGGAACTATCGCCGTTAATTTAATCGTCGAATCCGCAGGAATATGATTTCATTAATTTACCGAATGGAGAATATAAGTGAAAGCTACTTAGTTTACATTCGGGATGCAGGAGTGTTATCTTTCTTTCTTGATAGCGATCCCTACAAACATGAAGTGTAAAAGTAACTCATGTTGATACTCAGGATTGTGATGGATAACAGAGATGGGTGGTTTGATCTGGGTTGAATTTGATTTCATTATCCTGATTTGGCGCCCTATGGCTCCATACAGGTGTCTACAGTCTACAATATTTACCCGGGAGGAAATCTTTATGGTGGAAACCTCTCACATCTATCTATTTGTGTTGCGGGCTGTGCCCTGATTGGGACTGGTCACTAGGACCAACCCGGCTAGATCTTTAAGCGCCAACGAAGCAGCGCTTACAGAGACGCGAAAGGTTGCATGGGGAAGAATGCAAGGATACGCACAAAGAGGGATCTAAGTGTCGCATAAGGATTAATGCAAGGTTGCGCACAAGAACGAGTCTCAGTGTTGCATAAGGATAATTGCAAGGTTGCGCATAAGGAAGGACCCAAAGGAGTACGTACTAAGGGGGGGAGGATGTCACAGGAAAGAGGGTAGCCGGGGAGAATGGAGTATTCCCAGGTAGGCTAGGAGGGGAGCTTAAACGCGACGCTGAGGAGGACACAAAGGACAGGAGCCGTCGTAGGCAGATTAGCTTCGTAAGGAAAAATTATCAATTCCTATTGAGTTAACGTCTTTCAAGTACTTCTGAATTCTTTAAACCCTTTACAATTTGTTGTCTAAAGTTCTGACAAATTTTCTTCAGGAAGCGCAGTCACACCACAGTGCCATCCATGTAAACTAACCAGATCATCTCTATCCTCCCCAAGCATTACTTGACCTGTTCCTTTACCTAAGCAGCGTTTCGACCGCCTTTGTCATCTGGAGTTGCTCTATCCAACCATGGTTTAGGATCTAATGTGTAATCCTTCTAATGTCTCCAGGATTATTTATCATCGCTTCGTAGGACCGATCTTTCGCTTGTCTTCAGATCTCAGCTCTACCATTTGACCATCAAGGGCAGGACATAATCATATGCTTGGGGTTCTGCCATTGGTAGCCACATAGACAGCCTGGACTTAATACTCCAGGTACTTTTCTTCTGTGTAAATACGAGTTGAGCCCCATGTGCTCACTTCGTATTTGCATCGCCAAACTGCTTTGAACCCTTGTCAGATTACGATGTAGAAAGAATGGTGAGCCTTGATAACTCAGTTTTTGCCGTCCAGACTCTCTACTTCGGTAAAATTTGGCTGCTCTCCAAGTTTCGGATTCTGCAGTTGCTAACTGCCGAGGCTTCTGAGCTCGTTTCTGCTTAGCCCAGGATTACGCCCACTCTTGGTATGCCATAACTTTCACTATCTCTGTTTGTGACTTCTTGGTTAGTTCTTCATCGCAAATTCTCGTCCAGCTGGCAAGATCTATCCTCCTGTTAATTGTTCGTATATCTTCTTTCCCTTTTTTGGACAGCTTGATTTTACTACGGGCGGACTGGATTGTCTTCAGGACGTTTGATTTGGTTTATTATGTTACGTTAATCTAATACAAATCCTTTGCTGGCATAGTTCCAGGGTTCGTTGTAATGTCTAATTTGGAAATTTGTATTGAAGGAGGAATTAATTTGGAGATGTATCCTCTGATACATATCCTGCTATAGTCTTAGTCTCACATAGGATGTCAATAGAAATTAAAAAAAATAATAAGCCAATGCTTACTGCATTGGGGGGGGGGGGGGCAATTCTCAATACCTGTCAGTGGTGTCCCCTACGAACCTCCATCTTTCACTGTAGAGCCTGCAGATCCGAGATTGAGTAACACCTTTTCAACTTTGAGATGAGTTATCTCCCCTCTTCGTCAAACATACGCTTCCGATAACTCATAAGACGACCAAGATGACGATAATGATGCTGGGAATTAGAAAAGATAATGCCGTACCAAACGCTACAACGGTAGTCAGAGAGGCCCTAGTTATATTACAACATATGCTACCCATCAGCGGGCGAACAAAAAGCCCACGAAAGCAAAGTAAAAAGCCCTTCCGCCCTCAAGAATAGCAGATTTCGACTCGTCTAAAATATTGTCCCTACTAATCTTAACTTCTGAATCTACTAGTCAGTAGGGCATCTGAATTATATGAGTTACTCGACGATCCCACGTCCGTAACGACTTTTGGATGCTAGGCTAGGCTCCTTCACTACAGTCACTCTCGATCAAGACTTTTCTGACATCCTTTCACGACCTTCGGTTTGTCCTGCGGCATGAATCAGGGGAAGGGGAAGAATAAGGCTAGGAAAGTAGAGAGACGCTCTCAGGTATACACAGATCTGCTGTGCCCGGCTGGCCGGCCTCTTCGTTATAGGAGGGCCCCGCACCCAGTGGGTTTGAGACTTTTCACTGCAGCTACACGTCCGCAAATGGCCATCGTTTCGTTGGCTGGAGAGGGGAGATTATGACGGGATAACGGCTCCTCTTAGTGTGTACTCGAATTAAGACCTGTGGGGGTATTACTGCTGGAAAGAAGTTGTGAAGGAGACATAGGAGGGAGTACGCTACCCGGGTGTTACGGTTTACCTGTTGTTTAAGCTTAGGTGAATACCTAAGCGCATTGTTGAGGACTCTGAGGATAAGGTTGTTGGGATCGAAGCAATGTCATAGCACAGTGAATATGGGCAATGCGTAGCCGTGTGGTAATTATTCGACCAAAGGAAAAGGTATAAGCAACGAGACTCATAGAGTGGACTGAATGTTGTAAGTATCTTGTAGCTGTAGTTAGATTTCTCTTCTTCATAGAGTTTATTAAATCGATTTTTTCATCACCAACTCGGTTTCTATCACACCGAGGCATAGATACTCCCGGCCTGTGGGTAGAAAGGACCTACATGTCCTTACATATTTATAGGCTTTTTAGGACAATAAACAAATACTTACTGCATTAGGTGCCTGAAGACTCCAACGGTCTAAACCTGAATCGCTAAAG